CGTAGATGATTTATTTACTTCATTCGAGTTAGAGAAAAGATATTCAGAAGAGTTAGATGAAGGGATGTTATGGCACGTTAGACTAGGACATCCTTCTTACGACTATCTATTAAAATTACAAAAAGTAAATAAAGAGCTAACTAATGTAAAATTCAATGAGAATATTAAAAATTGTGAAACCTGTGTAATGTCCAAAATGAGTAAACAGCCATTTAAAGAAGTAAGAACTAGAGCTGATCATCCTCTTCAATTAACTCACACTGATATAATAGGCCCGTTTAAAACACTCACACATCCTGGTCGTAAAAGATACATTATAGTTTTCATAGATGATTATTCAAAATTTGCCAAAACATACGCTATAGTTAATAAGTCCGAAGCAGGAGATTGCCTAGAAAATTATTTAAATACAATGAGAAATCTAGTCGGAAAGAATCTTAGAGCTTGCTATATAAGGGCTGACAATGCTAGAGAATTCACTGGAGGTAAATTTCAAGAAGTAATGAAACAAGAAAAATTAGAGTCAAACTTTTCCAATCCATACACACCTCCTCACAATGGTACTGCTGAACGATTCAACAGAACCATATTAGAAAAATTGAGATCTTTAATGATAGATTCTGGTTTACCAAAGTCACTGTGGAACCTAGCATTAGAAGTAGCTGTAGATGTTTACAATAGATCCCCTAACTCGTCCATAGATTATAAAAGCCCCTTAAATATGATATCCCCTGATAAGAAAAGTCATTTAGAGAAAATCAGACGGTTTGGTTGCATAGCCTATGCAAGGAAACCGATATCTGAAACCAAATTATCAGAAAGGGCAATTAAGGGAGTTCTAGTAGGACAAACAAGTAATGGATATGTCTTATGGCATCCACAATCGGGAAAACTAATTCTAACCAAACACGTAAAATTTAGAGAAAAGTTAACTTATAAAAACATAGATAAAAATGACGAAATTACTAGAGAATACAGTGTAAATTCAAATTCTGATTCTGATGAATGCGATATTGAAACACCGGAGAAAATCATAGATGTGTTCGATACTTATAATTCAGAACAATCAAGTTCATCAAGCAGTTTAGAGTCAAAGTCTAAAGGTCTAGAGAAAACCAAAGGTAATAAAAGAAAATTAGCAACAAATATCGAACCAGAAAGTCAGACTAGAGTACAGCCTAAAAGAGGTAGTAAAGTAAAACGAGATTACAAAGCTATGGCTGAAGGAAAGGCTAATCTGGTAGATAACAGTTTTGCGTTCTTAACCCAATGTAACGAAATTGAAGTTGTAGGAGAAGACAAAAAAGGCTTCTGTTTAATGGCAACAATAAACTCAGATCCGACTAATTATAGAGAGGCAATGGAAACTGAGGATAAATTGAGTTGGTTAAAGGCAATAGACGATGAACTTGAGTCCATGAGAGAAAACAATGTCTGGAGTATAGTGAATAGACCTACGGTAACCTCAGAAGGAAATAGAGCTAACATTATCGATAGCAGATGGGTACTTAAAAGAAAAATAGATTCGGATGGAAAAACAACTTTTAAAGCTAGACTAGTAGTTAGAGGATTTAAAGACACTAATGAATATGAACTTAGAGAAACCTATGCACCTGTATCGAGATTAGCTATAATTCGAGCCGCGTTTGCTATTATTAACAAATTCGACCTCGAAGTTTACCAATTAGATGTGAAAACCGCTTTTCTAAACGGTGAATTAGATGAAGAAATATATATGGAAATCCCTGATGGAGTGAAAATAGATGAACAATCGAAAGTAAACAAAGTCTGTAAACTGCATAGAGCAATATACGGTTTAAAAATAAGCCCCAAGAAATGGAATCAAAGGTTTTCAGTAGAGGTAGAAAAATTAGGCTTACAAAGAGATATAAATGAACCCTGTCTTTTTTCGTACAGAAAAAATGGTAACATGGTATTATTGATTTTATATGTAGACGATATATTACTAGCAGGTAATGATTTAGTCAAAATGAATGCAATTAAAATTCACCTAAGCTTAGTATTCAAAATGAAAGAATTGGGAGAACCCAAAGAATATTTAAGCATTCAAATAACTAGAGACAGAAAAATTAAAGAAATATCACTAAATCAAAGTAAATACACAGAAAAGATTTTAGAGAGATTCGAAATGAAAGAGAGTAAACCGCAAAATACTCCCATGATTACCAGACAAGTTAAAACTAGAAATAATAAAAACTTAGAGAAACCAGAAAACTTTAGAAAACAGGAATATCCTTATAGAGAAGCAATTGGCTGTTTAATGTATCTTGCAAATGTCACGAGACCCGATATTTCATTTGCTGTGAATCTATTAGCCAGAAAGCAATCCAATCCTTCCCTTGAAGATTGGATAGACGTTAAAAGAATATTAAAATATCTTAGAGGAACTTCAAATCTGGGTTTAACCTATAGAGGCAATGGCGAAAATTTGGAAATATTTTCTGACGCGAGCTTTAGAGACAATATAGACTCATCCTCAACAAGTGGAATGGTTGCTCGCTTATTTGGAGATTCAGTTATGTGGAGGAGCCACAAACAAAGTGTAGTAAACCTTTCGACATGTCACGCAGAGTACTATGCGATGAGCGAAGCCTGTCAGGAAATGATTTCTTTAGATAAGGCACTTAGAGATATGTTAGGAAAAACGATGTATCCTATAATAATTAGATGTGATAACAAATCCTCTATTAGCTGCACACAAAAGGAAGGGAACCATAAACTAAAGAACTTTGATGAACAAATTGATGATATCGTTATTAATTTAGAGAATAGAGAAAGAACTGGAGTTAAAAACAAACTGTCTAAGGTGCATGGGGACTATATTAAACAATGTATTTCTGAAGGAAAAGTAAAATTGATATGGGTATCCTCAAAGGAAAATTTAGCTGATATCTTTACAAAGCCTCTTTCTTTTGAATCCTTTAGAACACTTAGAGATGATATACTTAATATGTAAATTGTGTATGCAATTTTTTTGTCTTTGAATTGATTTACAGAAACAGGTACCAGTAAAGACCAAGAGTGAATGATCCATGTCTTCGAGTCGTGCGTACGCTCACAAGGGAGGGAGTGTTGATTTTGCTTGTGTGCGTGCGCACGCGCTCTACGCCCTCTGCCGTGGCTTAAGACAGGCAGCCTTACTCTCCGCGCCCATTCCGATTCCAGCTATCGCCACGATCAGCAGCCACGACCTTGCGTTTATTTAGAGTGCCACCTTACGTTTATTTAGAGTGCCTTTTGATTTTGATTTGTATTTAATAAATTATATTATTTGTGTTCTGTCTAAATCTAGAGTTTGTGTGCTTAATTGTATGTGCTCCCTATCCAACAATAACATATCCTTATTTGATTTACTACTTCTCATGAGAGAGAAGTCTAGATTTTGTGCCTCTAAATTTATTTTTGTTTTATTGTTGATGATTTTATACAAACCGATGAGCAGATCCAATTTAATACCTTTATCTATGTTCATTTTTGCAACAATCATGAGTCCTTTATAACAGTCACCTTTATAGCGATTACATTCTTTAATTTCAATCACAGAATTTTTACTAATAATTTTAATATATGATTCTAATGCACACTCTAACCAAGATAAATACTGGATGTTCCATTCCATATAAAGCATATGTCTTTTTACAATCTCTTCTATTAGGTTTTTTTTAAGATATGGTAATTTTTTTCATTCACTGGTAAATGTTGATGCAATAAATTTTCTAATTTTTTCTGGATTTTCACAGGAAGCTCACAATTTTTATCAATTTTCCTAGTTTTAAATCCGATATAAGGGTCTAATACAAGCACTTTGCATGCATCATCGACATGAATCAAATCCCAACTATACATTTTTTTCGTATTTCTTCTCTCATCTAATTTACGGTCGATATCTATTACAAGTTTTTGGTTCATTTCAAAGATGATAATTTATTAAATTTACATTATGTTATTAATTGACTAAAAATTATATCGATTGTTTACAAGCCATAATATATTAATAACAATATACAAATATGAATATTGTTAAAAAATCGATTATTTGTAAGTTAATTTATCCGAAATACGAAAGTGATTTTGTTTTGAAAATGCAATACAATAAAAAATTCATGTTTTCAGAAATCAACTTCAAATTGATATTTTTTCCGAATAATTCTAAATCTAATGATGGCAATCAATTGTTCTTCAATCAATCACTAAATTTATGATTTGTACTTTTTAGTTTGTTTACGTTTAATTACTTGAATACAATAAAAATAACTCTTAGAGGTAAACAGATGTTTTACCTCTAAGTAAAACGTATGTATGTAAAAGTATGTTTAACCTCCCTATTGCAAAAAATGACGTCATTAATGACGTTATTTAATTAGGTCATTAATGACGTTATTTATAACGTTATTGGACGTGTTAGGTTTTGGAACGTAAAATAACGTTATTTTTCAAAAATTTGGAGTGCTGTTGAAACCAAATAACGTTATTTCTCGTCGGAAATAACGTCATTTACAGAAAATAACGTTATTTCTCAAAGAAGTGATTTAGGTCTGGAAATGGAATAACGTTATTTATCACAGATGATAACGTCATTTGCAGAAAATAACGTTATTTTTTCAAAAATTTGGAGTGCTGTCGAAACCAAATAACGTTATTTCCCGTTAACAATAACGTCATTTACCGAAAATCATGTTAGTTCCACGGAAATTTAGTAAAATGAAATGATGTAATTTTGTTGTTATTGTATTGTAATCTTATTCAAATATATTATCATAGACGTACATATTTGTTTTACATATAATATCACGTAGCCCTTCAACTTATAGAAAAAAGTTAAATAGCATTATATATATGTGTGAAAAATATGTAATATTTACATTATACGTACATAATACAAGATTTTTTTATATTCTAAAATAAATAAGACGTTATGGAACTTTTTGAACATTAAGAAAAAAAGCTAATTAAAGATGACAAGTTGATTGTACTTCGGATCAATCATATTCCAGATCATCTTCATTAATCTCAGAATCACCATTATCGTTATTCTCTTCGTCGTCCTCATTCTGATCTTCATCATGATTCTCATCCTCATCCTCATCCTCATTATCATCAGATTCATTTACATTTTTATTATATTTTTCTTCGCGAAGCTCGTCAGAGCAAGTAGAATAAGTTTGCCTTTCTTGAGCAATTATAGTACCAAGTTTCCTTCCAAATTGCTGTATAATAGCGCGTTTTTTCTGAGAAGACATCTCATTATGAATTATTTTGTTTTCTATTAAGTATTGGACATATCCACCTACAAATGAAATAAAAATTCAGTATAAGGTATTTTTTAAAGAGATCATTTAGATAATATACAGTACGTTTTAATGCCTCAAATTTTTTGGGATCAACAGGAGACCAGTTTGAAGCATCCTTTGTTCGGTTAATTTGTATAGCCAAGCATAGAAATTCATCAGTTTCCCATATGTAGGGAATTAGTTCCCTCAAGAATTTATAAGCTGACTTTACCCGCTTGGCTTTTTTCCAAGCTTTATAGGGCACCGAAACTCCAAAATGTAGATGGAAATTATTATACATATAAGGTCGTTTACATAAAATAACGTTATTTCTTAAAGAATTGGTTTAGCTCTGGAAATGAAATAACGTTATTTCTTATAGGAAATAACGTCATGTACAGAAAATAACGTTATTTTCCTGGAAATTTATGACTGAAAAGTCAATATTTTATTTATTTATAATTTATCGGATAAATACTTACCGCTGGTTTGTCTTCCGTCGCTTCCTCTTCCCAGGTGGTGAGTCTCCGCCTCTTTATTTCGCAATCTGACTGAATATAGTCGTCTGAATCGTATAGGACACTTTTTAGTTTTTTTTTGTACTTTTTATTCTTTGGTTTCTTATCTGGCTCCTTCCTGATATTTCTTCTTTTCTCGGCAACTGCTCTCTTTTGTGAACTAATTTTTAATTTATTTTTAGGTACTGCATCTTTTCCAATATCTTTTTCCTTCAATCACTGTTTTTGTATTCCACTTGTGGATGGTCTGCTTTCTAATGCTTTGCTAGTTGATACTTTATTTGCTGGAGATAAACGAAAATTCACGTTTGAGCTATAGGAAGTATCCAGTACATCTGAAAAACGAATATTCCAGTATACTTAAAGCTGCTTCAACGGTATAAACACTATTATATATTTTTGAATTACTTACCTTTAAGGATAATATTGCATGGTAATAGAGGATTTGTCCTTGAGTAACGTGCAGATTGTGGGGTATAAATATCATTCATGCTAGGGGAAGCTGAAGTACTAGGGCTATAATTCGAAGAATTATTTGACTGTCCTTGCATTTTTTTTTGAAGTGCTTTTAATTGCTCTTCTAATTCCATTATACGTTTGTCTTTCTCAAATTCTTTAGTTGTGGTAGCTTCATTAAATTCTAAATTACTTTGCAGCATTTTTAATTTGCTGCCCATAGCTGTTTCTGCATCTGCTACTGAGAGTGGAGAGGGCAGCATTTGGTCCTGAATAAGGAAACGAAGTGTGTGATCTTAGAGTTAAATAGTTATTTAAAATTTATACACTAAAAAATATAATATTCAAAGTATAGATTTCTTGTAAAATTTATAATGAAAGTTGAACAATAAATAGCAACAAAAAATAGAAACATCCAAAATTGTTAATATGTAGTATTACCACAGTAAAATCAGCAAATCTGAAATATTTATACTCCACATATAGCTAGCAATATTTATTTTTTTAATCATAAAATTGTTCCACCGAGTGTACATATTGACTACTATGAAAGTATGTTGTATACGTAGCATAAAAACCTTATTTGATGACGTCGTTGAGAATATCCCTTTTTTAGCTTTTCCTTTCCCTTTTGCCTTTTCCTTTCCATTAACTTCTTGATCCTGGTGCTTCTGAGCTAACTCGTGGAGAACAGTGCTGAGTCTCTTATTTGGCTTAGGCCATCTTCTTTTTTTAGCTTGTAACGTTTCCTTATCTGCAGCGATTTCCAGAATTACTGCTGGTTCAAACATATCTTGGCCTTCAGCACCCTTTCCACTTTTCACCTTAGCATCATAGGGAAACTTTTTTTCTTTTGGATCATAGTGTTGGATATGAGTCACCGGGAGAAATTTTACTTCTGCATTATCAGCATAAAACCTAACAGCAGCATGAGCTGTTGTCTCGCCAACATCTGACATGCCACTATCACCTTCCATTGTGTCTTAAAAAACAAATTTAAAAAATATATATAATATAATATTTGATACATTAACATGTTATATTAGATACATAAACATGAATTTTAACAGTTAACAACAGAGATTTGGCATCATATGTCCAATTATCAATGCTGACAGTGCACGATAAAACTTTTACTGGCAAAAAGAAATTAAATTATTTAATTTACAAGTACATTGTGTAATTTAATTTCTTTTTGCCAGTAAAAGTCTTATCGTGCACTATCATAGCTTTGATAATTGGACATATGATGCCAAATATCTGTTGTTAACTGTAATTCATGATTGAAATATTTTAAGCAAATAATATGCTAGCATCAATTATATCTATACTGTGTGCACAATTTTAATTAACTTGCATATATTACAAATACAAGTAGATATTGTTTTATATTTTATCCCTTGTAAATTTTAAAAACTAATTTAAAAAATATATATAATATAATACATATTAAATAACTACATATTAATAACAACATAATAAAAAACAAATTTAAAAAATATATATAATATAATATTTGATACATTAACATGTTATATTAGATACATAAACATGAATTTTAACAGTTAACAACAGAGATTTGCATCATATGTCCAATTATCAATGCTGACAATGCACGATAAGACTTTTACTGGCAAAAAGAAATTAAATTACACAATGTACTTGTAAATTAAATAATTTAATTTCTTTCTGCCAGTAAAAGTCTTATCGTGTACTGTCAGCATTGATAATTGGACATATGATGCCAAATCTCTGTTGTTAACTGTAATTCATGATTGAAATATTTTAAGCAAATAATATGCTAGCATCAATTATATCTATACTGTGTGCACAATTTTAATTAACTTGCATATATTACAAATACAAGTAGATATTGTTTTATATTTTATCCCTTGTAAATTTTAAAAACAAATTTAAAAAATATATATAATATAATATTTGATACATTAACATGTTATATTAGATACATAAACATGAATTTTAACAGTTAACAACAGAGATTTGGCATCATATGTCCAATTATCAATGCTGACAGTGCACGATAAGACTTTTACTGGCAAAAAGAAATTAAATTACACAATGTACTTGTAAATTAAATAATTTAATTTCTTTTTGCCAGTAAAAGTCTTATCGTGCACTGTCAGCATTGATAATTGGACATATGATGCAAATCTCTGTTGTTAACTGTTAAAATTCATGTTTATGTATCTAATATAACATGTTAATGTATCAAATATTATATTATATATATTTTTTAAATTTGTTTTTTATTATGTTGTTATTAATATTGTGACGGCTAGCCGTAACTTAGTTTTTTTTATATTTAATTATTAAATATGACGAACGGAGTGGGAACCTTCCTGATTTCCCACGATGAAAACGCATTCGAAATATAAACTTTGATAGTGGCCCGAGCCTGCGTACTCAAGCTTACAATCAACGCTCTATCCTGCTTTGTCCCACACGTATGTGTTGACAGGGGCCTACGATCATCGCGTATACATCGTGAAGTGTTATCACGCTGATAATGGAAGGGGACCATAAAAATGCAATCTATCTTTTTTTCCCACCGATTTTTAAGAAAATATCCGTAATATTAAATAGATTTTCATCAATTTTGTAAGCCATTATAATGCGCACCTTTTTGTCACCGAATAACCAATAAATAGAACAATAATGTATTTTATAATAAATCGTAAAAGGTTTGAATTTTTCTGAATGTTCATAATAGTCACTATGTATCGTCATAATTAATTAAGTTTAGTACAATTATGTATAAGTAATTATAAGCTATAGCGTTACTCTTGCTCTTAAAAGTGGCACTCCGAGAGCCATCTCTGGAGAAAAGGGCCCAAGTTAAAAAGGGACCGCCCTTTCTCTCTCTGAAAATTCACGCCCACAGACCAATAAAGAAATTCTGGATATGATTAGAAAATTTCCGACCAATACAAAATTTAGCCGTTATCGCTTCATGGGCCTGAGGAAAGGGATTTCCACCCAACCACCCACGGGTTATAAAAAGCTCTGTACAAGGCTGGAGAGTAAGTTAAGTTCAGTCAGTTAAGTTAGAGGAAGTCAAGTTCAGATAGAGTAAGTGCGGAGTGAGCACCAGGAAGTCCCTAATAAGAAGTTTTTACCAGTGAGTGAGTCCCGGAGGAAGCATCAAAGAAGAAAAATCACCCAAGTATATTCAGAGCATATAGAGAGAGAAAGAGGCCAAAGAGCAGAGAGAGAACGCAACTTTAATAATAACTAAATTGATAAAATAAAAGTAAGTAAAATCTTAAACCTGGCTATCCTTTTCTTTCTTTAAGTAATCCGCCTTTCTCTTGGAAATTCATTAAGCGTGAGTCTGGTGAATTTCCATTAAAGTCCCTTAAGAACACATTAAGCGTGAGTCTGGTGTGTTCGTAATAACATTTGGTTATTACATTCCGCGTTAGCATACAGTTTTCTCAACGCAACAATATTGCTCGTCCCGGCTTGTGTGTTACACGATAGCCAAATCAGAGCAACCCTGAGTTTACGCTTGCTCCAAGCGTACCTGAGAGTGACCCCGACGTCACAATATGTTTTTTATTATGTTGTTATTAATATGTAGTTATTTAATATGTATTATATTATATATATTTTTTAAATTTGTTTTTAAAATTTACAAGGGATAAAATATAAAACAATATCTACTTGTATTTGTAATATATGCAAGTTAATTAAAATTGTGCACAAGTAGATATTGTTTTATATGTTATCCCTTGTAAATTTTTAATCAATAGATAGTTTGTTATATTTTTTTAGATTTTTAACTAATTGTTTAAATGTCCTTCAGTGTGGCCCAAAGATAAAAATAAGAAATAATATAAAACGTTTATTAGCAGGATAATGTTACTTTCTCAGTCGTAAATAATTTGAAAAATAATTGTTTGAGAAAGTGTATTTAAAACAATCTGCTATTACAAAATTAGATAAAAAGAAATGCATGCATTCTATATAAGTACAGCAAATATAAATACTTTACTATCAACACCTTGTTTCTTGAGACTACAATTACTTGTATTTTTTTTATTATTTGCTGCAAAGAAAATGTGTTTACTATTTGCTGCAAAGAAAATGTGTACGTTAGACAAAAGAAGCCGGTAAAAGAACAAAGAACGTGTTTAAGCTGCCGCGTTCAAGTTCCATGTTCCAACCTAACTATTATTGTAATTTCTGGTATTTTTTGCAACTAATCTATTTTTTGTAACTAAATTTTGCAACTAATGAAATGAAAAGAGCAGAAGGCATTGCAATAGACATAAGTAGAAAATCGGAATGCAAAACGACGAAAACACTGAACCAGCAGTATACTTATGACTCGTGGCCATGGAGACTGTATCTAGTGTATCTCCATGCTTGTGGTACTTTTTTCATCTTCTCTGTTCAAGTCTTTATTATTTTATTATTCAGTGGCAAGGCCGGCAAGTATAACGGCTCGTAAATTGTCAATAACTGACAAAAGCAAGGTATAAATTTTGAATTGCAGGTAAACATAAATATATTATTTATAAATATAACTATAAAAATAAATTTAAAAAAAAAAAATATATATATATATATCAATTTCAGCAATAATGGCTAATAAGCATACTTACAACCTAGGAAGATTTGATCTTCATATTGACACTCCTAGGACAACAAGATACAATTATAGACGTAGAAGACTGGAAAGAGACGATTTATCAGACTCAAGCATTGAAAATCAGAGGTGGCGAGACAACTATGCTGTGGGTATCAAATGAACAAATTTCACATTCAAGCTTGTAAACATAAACACTTCCAACAGTGCATTGAAGTATTAATTAAACAATGTATTATACGAATACATTTAATTTTTTTTCAGCAAGTTGCAGACCTTTTACATGAAGTGAATAACACTTCTGACAGTGATGGATCTACAGCATCTCAGTCATTATCAGGATCTCCTGTGTCAATGCCTGTTTTATCACCTACAAATGAATCAGTGAGCAATAGATGCTTGTAATGCTATATATATTATTTGTTTCTATTTTTAATTCTAAATATATTTTTTAGGAATCTAGTATGTCACCTGCTGATCAAATAATCTCTTCTTCTTCCGGATCATCTAATCATGGCGAAGTAAGCATGCTGATTAAACCATATTTTTAATTTATTACTTTCAATTAATACATTAATAGTTTAAAATCACGTATAACAAATAAATGATACAACTAAAATAAGTATAGTAAAAAATTGTTACATAAATATACTTCTCAGATGAAATGCTATTACTTGAATAACCGTACTACTCAAATAGGTATTCTTTTTATTCTTAATAGGCTTTCTTTTTATTCGAATACTCTTTGGTATAAATTTTGAAAAAGCCTGTTTGAAGTAGAATTATCTATCAACTGCTTTTACATTTTGAACCTGCTTTACAAGTGAAATGGAATAATTATTGAAAAAAATATTATCTAATATCAGAATTTTGTAAACTTAAATACACATAAAAACTAATAAATGAAACGACTAAAATAAAAAATAGAATAAGTATATTAGAATGAAATATTAGATAAATATGTTATTATAAAATGCTGTTGCTTGAACCGCATACTATTCAAATAAATATCACATACAAGCTTATTGTTTATTCGATCACTCTTTTGAACTATTTATGAATTATTTATGAAATGTTTTTACATTTTGAAGCTGCTTTATAAGTAAAATGGAATAATAATTATTTGATAAAATGGTATCTGCTGACAAAATTCTGTAAAATTAGGTACATTATTAACAATATATAATTATCCCAGTCAAAAAAACTCATGATTTTTCACATGATTTCTTAATTGATTTTCATAAGAAAACTTGAAATTATGCAGCATAAACAGTACAAAAACTTGTAGCTCATAATGAAAAATGGTTTTGATATTATGCTATGAAAATAATTTGCTTTGTAATTAAAGGTTTTAAAATTTAGCCATCTACGGTAGCAATATTTTTTTTAATACAGTAAGACTTTTAACTATTGATTATTTACCTTTATCCAACATGACCAAAGAAGGTTTCAATTCTTTGTAATTTATAAAAAATATTCTTTTAAAAAGTCGTGTGTAAAGCCTGTTTTTGACATAATTTCAAGTTTTCTTCTGAAAATAAGCATTTTATAATTTATGCAAAAATACATAATAATTAAGAGATAACGTGAGAAATCACGTTAAAACATCTCATGATTTCTCGGTCGGGTGTTCAGAATATGAATGTTGAAATAGCTTGGAAATAGTCATATGACTAATACTATACACTCCCTCCCAATAATCTTTGCCCACCTGAGAACAAAACGACTATAACTTTGAAACTCCATATCTCGGCTGGAAATACACCTACAAAGCTCTGCGGAGGCTCATTTGAAAGGGTTTTTCGAGCACTTTTCAATGGTGTATATTAAAATCATGCTTAGATATTTCCCTTGCAGATAGGGCGGCGAATATCAAAACAAAAATTACGAAATTTTTGCTTTTTCTTTAACCGCTTGCCATTTCGAGAAAAAAAATCGTAGAAAAATTCTAAACATAGCATTTTTTAGCTCTTTCTCTGCACTATCCAAAACACTCATTCAAAAATAATTTTCGTCTAAATTCAGCGATTATATGAGCATTTCATTCAAAAACAGCATCTATATTCATTGCTCTGTATCTCGGAAAATTCGGATTGTAGAAAAAAATTTTCTGGAAAGAAAATGCTTTATTTTGTAAGTAAAATACGTGAACGAAATTTCATAATCATATGAAAACATTTTTTTTTCAGTCGTAATATCAAGTAGCCTAATTTTTTCAATATTTCACTTTGGAATAATAAAACAGATCATTTATACTCGAAGCTATTCTATTAATTGTAGACAAATTTTAATTGTATGCAAATCTCGATCAACGAAAAATCTAAGTAGAAAAATTAATCTAATCTACCAAAACTGACATAACTAATGATTAGTGAAAAAAATTTTTTTTTAATGTTGTTCTAATCTTCTAAAAAATTGTTTACCATAGTAACATATTATTGAAGTATGGCACCGAGAGATTTTAGTAAACGTTATCGAGTTATTGGATTTCACATAAATGGTAAAAGCAATAGTTATCAAGAATAGCTTCGAGTATAAATGATCTGTTTTATTATTCCAAAGTGAAATATTGAAAAAATTAGGCTACTGGATATTACGACTGAAAAAAAATGTTTTTATATGATTATGAAATTTCGTTCACTTATTCTACTTACAAAATAGAGCCTTTTCTTCCAAGAAAATTTTTTTCTACAATTCGAATTTTCCGAGATACAGAGCAATGAATATAGATGCTGTTTTTGAATGAAATGCTCATATAATCGCTGAATTTAGACTAAAATTATTTTTGAATGAGTGTTTTGGATAGTGCAGAAAAAGAGCTAAAAAATGCTATGTTTAGAATTTTTCTACGATTTTTTTTCTCGAAATGGCAAGCGGTTAAAGAAAAAGCAAAAATTTCGTAATTTATGTTTTGATATTCGCCGCCCTATCTGCAAGGGAAATATCTAAGCATGATTTTAATATACACCATCGAAAAGTGCTCGAAAAACCCAACCCTTTCAAATGAGCCCCCGCAGAGCTCTGTAGGTGTATTTCCAGCCGAGATATGGAGTTTCAAAGTTATAGTCGTTTTGTTCTCAGGTGGGCAAAGATTATTGGGCGGGAGTGTACATGCACAGCTCTTCTGGATTATCTTACATTATTCTTATTATTTTAAAGGGTTATCCAAGAGATCAATATGAGCAGTTGCTCTATGAGCAAGATGATGACTACGCGAGTGACGAAGATATCATTGAGTATCAACCCGATTTGGAGATCCTTTTATGAATGGAAATGCTGAGGAAAATCGTTTACAGGATATGTTAGTAGATAAGCAATGTATGTTCTGGGACACAAAGGAGCCGACAAAGGATGCCGCCAATGTATAAGGATACGTGTATGTTCTGGGACACAAAGGAGCCGCCCGATGAAGGTGTGAAGGTAGTGACACCTTTTGACACCTTTTGATTTATGGTCAGACCCCATGGTGAGTGCCTAAAAGGGATTTGATGTACCTTTGACACCTTCCGCGTGCCAGTGGGCCCCATGCTGAGTTTTAAGGGGCATTTGATGTTGGTTGACACCTCGCGCGCGCCGCCAATGTATAAGGATACGTGTATGTTCTGGGACAGAAAGGAGCCGCCCGATGAAGGTGTGAAGGTAGTGACACCTTTTAATCGCGATAAGATGAGACCCCACGCCGAGTGTTGCATTTGATGTTCGTTCGACACCTCCGGCGTGCCAGTGGGCCCTTCGAGGGGGCCAGTCTCCCCCCCCCCCCCCCAATAGTAGGACGCTTCACCCACCCACCCACCCACCAACCCACCCACCCACCCACCAACCCACCCACCCACCCACCAACCCACCCACAGAGGTTGTTAAGGTAGGACGCTGTAGAAGTCGGTAGGGCGTTTGGTAAACTATATGCTTATGCTGGCTGAGTGAAGGACCCTCGGAGAGGGGGTAGCGTCTCTAGCTTGCTAGACGCGTACGCCGTATAGTGAGGATGCTGTTTTCACTCTCTCTCTCTCTCTCTCTCTCTCTCGCTCTATCCCTCTCTCTCGCTCTTCTTCAATAGTAGGGCGCTTCACCCACCCGCCCACCCACCCGCAGAGGTTGTTAAGGTAGGATGCTGTAGAAGTCGGTAATAGTGCGGATGCTGTTTTCTCTCTCTCTTTCTCTCTCGCTCTCCTTCGATAGTAGGGTGCTTATACTAGCTGAGTGTGGACCCTTGGAGAGGGGGTAGCGTCTCTAGCTTGCTAGGCGCGTACGCCGTACAGTGAGGATGCTGTTCTCTCTCTCTCTCTCTCTCTCTCTCTCTATCCCTCTCTCTCACTCTCCTTCGATAGTAGGGCGCTTATGCTGGCTGAGTGTGGGCCCTCGGAGAGGGGGTAGCGTCTCTAGCTTGCTAGACGCGTACGTCGTATAGTGTGGATGCCGTTCTCTCTCTCTCTCTCTCTCTCGCTCTCCTTCGATAGTAGGGCGCTTAGTAAGCTTATGCTAGCTGAGTGTGGGCCCTCGGAGAGGGGGTAGCGTCTCTAGCTTGCTAGGCGCAGCCACCACCCACCCACCCACCTCCTACCTTTTGTCTGACTACTCCCTCTTCAACCTACAGCGCCGAAACCGCTGCTTTCAGCGCCACCATAGTGCTTAAAAGACGTGCTCGATGGGAAAAGAGCGCAGTCTTTCGAGACAGCCCGCTTCACTAGCTTTCTTAGCAGTGACAAGCAGTAGTAGTAGTAGTAGTAGTAGTAGTAGTACTAGTAGTAGTAGTAGTAGTATTACTAGTTGACCTACGTGCATTTTCATTACAATGGCTTCTATTGCTTATTTTGAAAATACAGTACGCGATTTATGGAAAGCCTATTACAACTCAGACGCTAATAAGGATGATTTTATTAGATGGAAAAATATAATAATTACCGCTTTGCATTCTCTTGAAGAATATATGTTACGGCCTAACTTAAGTAGAGCAATACGACAGAGATGTCAAACATGCGCTACTCATTTAAATTCAATCGAAATTAATTTAAATAATTCCATAAAAGTCGGAGGAAATATTAATTCATTACGAGTCATTCCAAACCAAATTGAAGGGGATGGAGTTATTTGGCGTGAAATAAATTCAGCATTTGAAAAACGTATCATTACTGCATTCATAGCCAATCAAGAACATAGAGATATAAAGTCATTCTTAAAAGCAGCAAATAAATTATTACAACTACAAATACCAAAATATCTTTCAATTCATAATGCTCTAAAAATAAATATAGAAATGTCAGCTCAATTTACCGTAATAAAAGATAATGTAGAGGACATTCAAGTAAAGTATTTCAACACCGAAAATGTTTCTATTTATAAAACGACAGATCTTAAATTATGGTTTACAGAAAATATTGAAGATGTTATACTTAAAAATTTAGAAGAATTTCAAGAAAAAGATTCCGGTTGGACATTAAAAACTATCATCGGTATTACTGTTAATATAAATAAATTTAATCCTTTCAAACCTGGCTCATATATTCAACTACCAAAGCAAATAGCAGATAAAAAAGCAATTATCAACGTTCAAAATACAGATAATGAATGTTTTAAATGGGCTGTGCTTGCCTGTCTTCATCCAGCTAGATTTCATAGCGAAAGAGTTCAAAATTATATGCCCTTTGCGAATGAATTGAAATTCGATGATATAAACTTTCCTGTTGAGGTAAAGAATATTCCTAAATTTGAAAAATTAAATAGTATTTCAATAAATCTATACATACTAAAAAAATACGGTTTGAAATTCGAAGTCTCACCATATTATATATCAACTTTAAAACAAGATAAGCATGTAAATCTTTTGTTACTACAAAGCGATTATATTGATGAGAATGAAACAGAAAAATCTAATAGATCAAATAACAGTGATAATTTCAAATTAAAATTCCACTATGTATGGATTAAAAACTTATCTGCTCTCGTTAGAAGTCAAGTAACGAAACATACTGCACAAATTTATCTCTGTGAACGCTGTCTCCACTATTTTAATAATAAAGAAAAATTGAATATTCATGAGACTGATTGTTCAAAATTAAATAAATATAGAGTTAATCTACCTAATTTTCCTCTTCTGAAATTTAATCATTATGATCGAAAAGAAATGGTTCCGTTTATTATCTATGCTGATTTAGAGTGCTTATTGAAACCAGTAAATAACGGACGATCCTTCCAAGACCATGAAGCCTTTAGTGTGGGGCTTTATATAAAATGTAGTTATGATGATTCCAAATCAGTCTTTAAGATGTATAGAAAAAAACTGAATGAAGAACAATCACCCGCACAATGGATTATCAAACAATTTCAGATTTTGTTAGATGAAATGAATCAAATATATAAGAATGCAATAGAAATGAATCTTTCATGGCGTAATCAAATGGATTTCAAGATGAGCAAAATGTGTCATATTTGTAGAAAATATTTTCAACCTGATGAAACAAGAGTCAGAGATCATTGTCATTTGACGGGTCGATTTAGAGGTGCTGCTCACGCATCCTGTAATTTAAATTATAAGAATCCTTATTTTATACCAGTTGTCTTCCATAACCTTACTGGATATGATTCTCATTTTATAATAAAAGAAATAGCTACTAGCTCTGATCTTGAGGGAAATGTGACTGTTTTAGCTGAAAACAAGGAAAGATATATAGCTTTCACAAAACATGTGGACGGTAGTACTATAAATTTTCGATTTATTGATTCGTTTCGTTTTATGCCATCATCTCTCGAAAAACTGTCCTCATACTTAACCAAACTAAATATCGTAGAGCATGAATTCAAGATAGATAAATATACAAAAACACAAATAGAATTATTGAAGAGAAAAGGCGTTTTTCCATATGAGTATGTTAACAGTTTTGAAAGATTAAAACAGACTCAATTACCACCTATCGAAGATTTTCATAGTCAATTGATAGATAGCAACATCTCTGAAGCTGACTATGAGCATGCTCAAAAAGTGTGGAATGCATTTAACATCATTGATTTAGGACAGTATTCTGATTTATATTTAAAAACTGACGTATTACTCTTGGCCGATATTTTTGAAAATTTTCGTAAAACGTGTATGGACGCGTATCAACTCGACCCAGCACACTATTATACTACTCCTGGATTAACATGGGATGCTATGTTAAAGTGTACAAAAATTGAGCTAGAACTTTTAACCGATATAGACATGGTTTTATTCATCCAAAAAGGCATTCGAGGAGGTATTAGTCAATGCTGTAATAGATACTCAAAAGCTAATAATCGATATATGGGCTCCGAATATAATGAAAAAGAACCTAGCAAGACTTTGATGTACTTTGACGTTAACAATTTATATGGATGGGCAATGACACAATCATTACCATATAAAAATTTTAAGTGGGTCTCTAACATCGATGAGCCTCATTTTTTCAATGTTTCCGATAACAATGAGGTTGGATATATTTTAGAAGTTGATCTAGAGTATCCAAAAGAACTACACGACGAACATAAGGACCTTCCACTTTGTCCTGAACACAACACACCACCTGGGTCAAGACAAAAAAAACTTTTAACAACACTGTATGATAAAGAACGATATGTCATTCATTATAGAGCGCTAAAGCAGGCTATTAAATACGGACTCAAAATAAAACAAATACACAGAGCACTTCAGTTTAATCAAAAGCCTTGGCTTAAAACTTATGTAGATTTGAATACAGAAAAAAGAAAACAAGCTAGAAATGAATTTGAAAAGTTATTCTATAAACTCATGATTAATGCAGTATACGGAAAGACTATGGAGGATGAAAGGAAACGAAAAGACGTTAAATTAATTAGTACATGGAGTGGTAGATATGGAGCAGAAGCACGGATCGCGCAACCCAACTTTCATAGTAGTTCAATCTTTGATGAAAATTTAGTAGCAATACAGTTATCATGGACGTCTATTAGTATTAAAAAACCAATATATATTGGACTTTGTGTGCTAGATCTCTCAAAAACATTAGTATATGACTTCCACTATGGCTACATAAAAGAAAGACTACCTCATAAAGCAAAATTACTTTATACTGATACAGATAGCCTCGTATATGAATTTAAAGATGTTGATATATATGAAATAATGAAAGAAGATATCAATAAATTTGATACATCAGATTACTCAGAAAATAATCAGTTTAATATGCCGTTAGTCAATAAAAAGGTTCTCGGTATTATGAAAGATGAATGCAATGGTAATATTATGAGAGAATTCATTGGACTTCGAAGTAAAATGT